TCTATCAGGCAACATTGGATAGAACCGCTCGGGAGAGGCTCTTATTAGGGTCGAGCCCAGGGCGAAAGAGGTTGCTCATGTCGGGAAGAACTAAGATGGCGAGCTGTTCTTCCAACGCATGAACTCTTGCACTGGAGGCGTATATCGAAGATCTGAAAATGCAGGCCAATAATATCTAAGCCTACGACGTCATCAAACTTGACTGAGACGAGAGTGCATCGCTCGCTGCACGCCGATAACAAGACTTAAGGAGAACTTTTTATTGGGACGAGCGACAATAGAGGTATCTTCGTCAATACGCCCTTGTCCGTGAACGTCGATTCCTACAAAGGTTGGTAACCCGCACAGTTCTTTTGAGATTGAGAAGATGTGGCTCAGCCGCAGCTCTAGCAATCCCTCGTTGTGCACACCAACATCAAGCTACGGAGAAGAGGGGCTGGAATCGTTTTTAGAGAGGACCGTTTTTTATTTAGGGTCATCGTCGGTGATTTTAATCTCGAGATTGCCTCAAGAAGAACGCTGAAACAGCACATATCGGGGCTCACGGAACAGAATGGAATGAGCAGGGTGAAAGACTATCAACATTTTCATGTCTAATCACCCTATCCAGATCACTTCGTTATTCTTGAAGCCCTCCCATTTGCGAGGAACATGTGAGCCACCTGGTAGACAGTCTCATAATGGAACAGATCTAATCACCTCCAATATAAAGTGTTGCCTGTTTGATATCGCTGTTGTTCCGAAGTTCTGCACAAGATCGGACTATCGTCTGTTCCACACTAGATTCTGCTTTTCCGTGAAAGCTGGGAAGTTCAGGAAACGGGGTCCCAAGACCTTTCTCAACTGAAACACTTCTCTTCCCTTCCGAGTTCCTGTAAAGATCCCTATATCAACAACATCGATCACAAATTTGACCCGCTCGTCGAATATTTTTACGATAGTTTCAGGACATCAGAGAGCCCACAAGCAGATACGGGAACGGCTCTCTCCCGAAAATCTCGAACTATCAAGCCAGCGTGGAATCGCGTGAGCTACAGGCGATCATCAGCAAACGCCAAAATTTGCGAAGCTAAGCTACCGTGAACAGGTAGAGCATCCGCAGAGCCCGCCGGAGCTTTGCTGATCAACAAAAGGAGATAGCTTCTTCTCCTGAGGGAGCAGTTAATGCATTCTAGAGGGCAACAGAGGAATCATCTACGACTTCTGCTCGTATCTCTTTCACAGCAACGTCTACTTGCCTACCTAAAGCCATAAACGAGAAAGATGTGTCGTCCGTTCAGTTTATGAGTCATCCTCAACAGATTTAGTAGAATATCAAACGAAGGACAGTCATGCAAGGTAGTGGGGTGCCGGAGAGGGTTCGGTTCAATCGATCACACCCGCGTGTCAAAACACTCATTCAAATATTGCGATAATACAGGATGCCGATATGTCTAACGGCTGTCGAATTAGGAGCGGTAGCTGAAGCTCCGGAAACCAACGTGTTCTTTTTTATTAAACATATAAAGATGCTTCGTGGGCTCTACCAAATCTTCTTGACCAGGACTTCGCCATTTATGAAGAAGTCATTATCAACGTGAAGAGAGGTGTTGAACAGGGCGATACTATCTCGCCCAAATTCCAGTACCGCTCTCGAAAACATCATGCATCATATAAATGGGAAGTTATAGGAGTGAAAGTCAACGGTCACTACTTACATCATCTCCGCTTTACAGATGACATCGTGCTTATAACACCGAAAATTGGGCAGGCGGAATAAACGCTGGCCTAGTCCGAATTCGACTATGTTTGTGGAAAGATCGGATTACGACTGGGTCTAACGAAGACGATGGTAATGCGAAGTGGTACTGAACGACCTAGCACAGAGTAGCAGGAGCCAGCACTGAGCAAAAGGAAACGCGGGGTGTGGGGAGCATTCAGGAACATCGAGGAAGTAGTGAAGAAAACGAATAACTTCCGGCTCCACGCTCACCTTTTCGACACTGCAGTCCTACTTGATTTGGCATACGCCTCGGCGATTTGGACTCTACGGAAGCACTTAGCGTTAATAAACGCGCTGTGGAAAGGACGATGCTAGAAATTTCTCTATACAG